TGTATTAGAGAATGGGATTTACATGAATGTCTGGATAAATACAGGATTTTGATATAAAAAGTTTGGTGGAGAGGCCTCGTAACTCGGTAGCATAAAAACTCTGGAATATTCTGGAATATGAAATGTATATAACAGCAGAGATTTAAGAATACCAGTAAATAATTTATATGAGATGTATTCACCCTATTTCTTTTAAGCTGATGAAGGACTGTTAGTAGAATTTTCCCACATTGATATGGGTAGAGCTGACGTTTCGATAGAATTTCACACAGCCTGGCTGTTCCAAAAGTTGCTTCTATTTAGGCATCAGTGGACTGCATTTCGAGCTCGTCTAGGTCTTATCAACACCCCCAGCGGGAATCGAACCGTGACAGTGGAGAATGGGAGCTTGACACGTTAGACACTCGACCACATTGCCACGAGTGCCCTTGACTCACAGGGCAAGTGTGAATTTCAAGAAAGGCCAGGTCTTTTGCCATATCATATTCTTTGGTGGGATTGTCGATGAAGCAAAGTTATATTTGCTGTAACAATCGACCACATTACTCATTTTTCGTTTATAAATTGGGTTTCAACACTACCAGTAAATCAACTATCTGAAAAACTACTTTTGAACGGGAAATAAGCATTCTGGAACGTTTTTAAAGTTATAGATACGAATAGTAACAGGGTTTAGATTAATCTATTGAGATAATATTGTTGGGAAGGCCTTCATTTCGTCTGAAAGTGCTTGAAGCAGTGATTCATAGGTTGATCTCACCAGAAAAATGGTCGCATAGAGCCTCTGTAAGGGATCTGTGTACTGCCAGAGCAGAGTTGGCGCAGAAGAGTCGTTCTCCAACTGGGCCTCCACGACAACATGAACCCCAGTTCCAGTCGGCTCGGGACGTTTGTTTTTATGCTACAACCGGCGGTCACACATCACCGCTTAACCCTGTCTCCGAGATACAAAATGCAACCCAAGACATCTGTGACCTTTGGCCATGCCTAGCAGGGCAACAGGGGCGAATTTTTCACCTTCGTCTTCTGCTTGTCCTGACACTGTGTTTGTTTTTGTTGCTGTTAGTGGTGGTGTTGTGAATGACAATGGTGGTGATGAGTGCATGTGTTAGTGTGCGTGTGTGTGTGTGTGTGTGTGTATGTAAACGCTTTGGCACATCCCAGTTCGTCCGGAAAGGACGATATGTCTAGAATTCCTGTACCCTCCTGATCGGCTTTTTTACACACTTGATGCCTCCACTTGACCTCACTTTGCCTGTTCCCATATCATTCCCACTTGTAGTCACTTACTCCCTGTCCGGGTGTGATCCTGACCGGCTTCAAGTGATGTCTAACAGGATTGCTCAGTGCCCTGGAGAATGCGCTTGAAAGAGACAGTAATGTTGAGATACTCTATTCAATATATTTATATAAATAAAAATCTAGCTCTTTCTCTCCAACAACAATCAGTTATTATGAGCCTGAATCGTCAATTGTCCATACGAATTGGGAAACGAGATTTATAGACATTTCAAAGCCAGTCAGCCAGCCGACCAACCATAAACAAATTAAAATAGGCATAAATGTGTTGGATCATAGTCTCTTTTGGCATTGACAACTTTTTCATATATCCATCGGTAGGTAGGTCCAACGCTGTGGGAACGCATGACAATATAGGAGGTGGAGGTACGTGAGGCTGGTTCCTTATTGTTTCCCAGAAAGCGGGACTATGTTGAGAAAACGATAAGGCGAAACATGATGAACTTACGTAAAAAATGTATACATGATGTAAGATAATCGATTCCTCTTAGCAATCCCATGGAATATCTGTTTGTGTGTAGTCAGTCCTGGATTTCACCTTGAGGCGTCTTGGTGACTGAACACGACACATTTATTGTGGTCAGTTTTTTAATTCCATCAAGCTTAATATACTACTGACTAAGTAAGAGAACCTGGCAATTTCGGAAAAGGTGGATAGAGCACATATTTTTCACCGTTTCTAGATGTCAGGACTACGGACACTCTCGTCCAGTGAGATGAACATATGTATGCCTTTTCAAGCTGTGAAAAAACATCAAATGTGGTATCATTTCACTTAAATGTCTTCTAGGAAACCTCCATCCACCTTTTGGTGATAAAGCCTAGTCTAGCACCTGTAGAAGGTAATAATGACAGGTTGGGTAATTAAAATGCCGCCGGCCTGGAGATACAGTTGAACTATCCTTCTTAACAATTGCATGAATATATATATATATATATATATGCATATGCATGTCCATCTAGGTGTGTTAGATATACAGGTCAAATCTAGCTTGGACGAGACTTTGGGAACTGGGCAAGTTATTTCGTTAAAATGATATTTTGGAGCAGCGTATAATGAATAAAGTAATTGTATTACAATAAGCAATAACATTGTTTAGAAGTGGTTTGACCTTGTTTTTTTCAACTTATTTTTCTGAACTTACCTTGTCCGAAGTCCATTGTAAAAAAAGTCACAAAAATTCGGTACACTAGGGAATGAAACAAATCTACAGTCCGACACTGGAAGCTATCACAATTGCTATAGCAGAGTACTTCGGACGAGGTATGTTCAATTGGCTTACTGTGACAACACAACCGGGTAGCGAAAATGAGGTCAAACCACTTCATCTTGGTATTCCTATTTATACATGAAATAGTTCTGAACATTTCGTTATTAGGTTATTCGCTATGGCCAAAATTGAAGCGTACATGTAAACAGCATAGCCAGATTAGAATCAAATTTGTGACCATGTGTTCCACAGGGTATGAATACGATGGTCCAACTGGGCGACTGAATGACGGAAACCGTCGTGGCTCGGTCTGTAGAGACTTTCTACAGCACACTTGGGTCACTGGTTCCACCTTGTGGTAGTCAGGCCCACACGGGGATCTTGAAGCTTCTGATTCCGTGTCCGGTTGCTGTCCTCCCGAGGCTGGGGAGTCGTCAAATCCCCTTGCATCGCCTCGTTCGTTCGGCGGGTCTCGACAGCCAAGACCGGTTGTTCCCAGTGTCGATTCAGTGTGAATCATACCGACTGCAGTCGAGGTGGGGCAAACGAGGCAGGCAGACAAACTGGCCGGATGGCTGGGCAGATCGACTTGACGTGTAACGAGGGCCGACCCTTGACGACTGAAGTAGGCAAAAGTGTGTTCACCACGGTTCGTGTCTCGAGGACACCGGCAGGAGAGTTGAAAAAGTGGCCAAAGAACGGTCTCTGTCTTAGTCAGCCGAGCAATGGAATTGTAGAGAAAGGGCTCTGGGAGTCTGCCTCGAAAGGGGAGGCATCGCAGACAGGAAAATCAAGTCTTAAATGGCAGTAGGCATCGAAGTAACGTCAAAAAATTCTCTTTTAGGCTGCCTGGATGTGGCTTCAAAGAAGGAGGATACAGAAGCGACTATCAAAGTGTACACGATCGGGTAAAATGAAGCATACCTACTGATCTACTGATTCACTCGTTTCTCGGCCTCTTTGTCGACCTCCCTGCACGTCTGTTTGGTCATCTGCCTATCCATCCAACTATATGCCCATAAATATATGCCCAATTTCCCGTCTAGTTACTTTCCCACTACTCAGTCAACTAACATTTTTATGGACTTGGCGCTCCTGCCACTTACGAATCCACTTTGCAAACATATTCGTCTACCTTCTCACGACCTGAAGATGCTTTTGCTGATCAGAATTCGTTGCTGAATTCTTAACTGACATGCATCTTCAGTCTTTTAGTCCACCTCTCGAAACAACTCTCTTTTATCGATGCTTATGACATACACACTTGAAGATTCACATACTTGGTATGGAGTTGTAGTCCCACGCATACTTATCCCCTTATGTTCCTACATTCCCACCTAACTAACTACAAACCTACAAACCTACCTTATACCTAGGTACCTTCCCACCTTCCAACCAAACGTCATAACTAGTCTCATAGCTAACTACCCGCCCACCCATCCTACCATCCCAACCTACCTAAATATCTACCTACCATCATAATTACATACATATCATCATATATTCAATCCTACCTACTTATATCAATGTGTGGCTACCAAAATACCAACCTACATCCATAGCTAACTTTCTGATCAACTACTTACGTATCTTCATATCTTCCATCCTACATACCCACCTGACTACCTAAATACCTACCTACCTAACTCCAGCCCTACCTTCCTAAACAAATATCTAGCTAACTTCATATCTTCCTTCCTACATATCTACACTTCTGATTAACATACATCCGACTTAAATAACTACCTAAGGTCATGACTACTTTCATATATAGCTACCCACATACATTCATATAATCAATCCTACCTACCTACCCACCTATTTATCTAACTACATATCTACATACTTAACTACCTATATACCTACCTACCTAACTATTTAAATATCTACATACCAACCTGGCTACCTAAATAT